TTCGGTCGTCTCATCACATTTCTGACGCTCCTCGTCCTGCGGCGGAAGTTTAAGAGCTGCTGCTGCTTTTGTTCTCGGCTGCCAGACGCTAATTTTTCCTATTTGTGCGCCGCCTCACTTCCTCTTCACATCATCCTTCTTGACACTTTAATGGCCTCAGAAATGTGAACATCATTTCTTGATGACTCAAAAGAAAAAAAGAAAAGAAAAGAAAAGAGCCCTGATGTTTTGCTTTAATTACTGCTGCTGACGGTTCTGGCTGACATCATCCTGAGCAGCTCCTGCACCGCAAACTCATAGAAAACCTGCTATGTGCTTTAAAAATTAATTAGTTTAACTGGAACAAAAAGCTGTTGATTTTTTTTATTTTTTCCACCTAATTGTGTTGCGGCGGAGCTTCCTGGTCATTAGAGACTCTCCCTGAACCCAAAGGTCACAACTTTCAACCGCAGCCAATTACTGTCCGTCAATAAACGGAGAGACGTTGAAGCAGCGCCGAGCGGAGCAGGGCTAGCGCTGAATGGAGCGACGCTGCTTTTGTACGGAGCTGAACAAGAAATACGTCCTTGGTGGCAGCGATGGTTGAGTTTAGGCCGAAATGTCACCATGTCTGTGTGTCGTCGGGTGTTTTGTTTCCTCCTGATCAGCTCTGATGAGCTCAGAGAGTTCATGACGGTCATCGGATGGTCTGAAGCAGCAAAAGTCTCAGAGTTCAAACAGCTGCTGCAGGTGTTCTAAAGGAATCTCCCACTAAAGGTCTGTTTCCTCACGTTGAAACTCTGCCGTAGTGTCTGCTTCCAGTTGTTTCCAATGAGGAGAAGTTTTTATTGTGCTGAAAATGGAGGAGATGGAGGAGATGGAGGAGACGGTGTCGTCACTGCTGCTCCTCTATCAGCAGAACTCCTCCACCTGGTGACTGCTCAACATGTGGCGTCAGCATCGATAGCGTGACGTCAGGCAGGTTAGCTCAGATGCATCATCACGCTGCAGCTGTTTGGCTTCTTCATGCAGAAGGAAAACTTAGAGTTTCTCTCTAATAGAAGATCATTTGCTCTGATTTAAAGGTTCTTAGATTTGCTGAGGTTTCT